AAAGTGATTTCTGTTAAATAAAATATCTCCTTTTGAAGTGGACTTTGAGCTTTGTAACTTTGCAGATCTTCTTTACGCTTAAACAGCAACATTACAGACTAACTAAAGTTGAAAAAGTGAAAAAGCATAATAGGACCCCTTTAAATATCTGAACTGTGATAAAGCCTGATACCTGCTATGAGGATTGATACTGTGACTCCAGAGAGAACCCGTGTCGTCATCCATTCCACGAGGGTCGTCAAAGAAATATGAGCGTGAGCCTCGTGTGTTGCACATCGCTGGGCTACAGTTCTGAAATAAACAAAGCAAACAGCTCAATGATGGAACACTCATTTTTGGGTATATACATTATACATTTGGCAGATGCAAAACTATGAGCTCTAAATTGTTTCTTTCCATCATCTTAAGCATTTGTTTGTCATTGACCTAAATGCAAAAATGTACACTACCGTTCAAAAGTCTTTATTTTTTTAAAGATGTTTCTTATGCTTACCAAGGCTACATTTATTTGATCACAAATACAGTAAAATATTGTGAAATATTACAATTTAAAAACTTTTATATTTAAATATATACATTTTAAAATGTAATTTATTCCTGTGACCAAAGCTGAATTTTCAGCATCATTACTCCAGTCTTCAGTGTCACATGATCCTTCAGAAATCATTCTAATATGCGGATCTGCTGCTCAAGAAACATTTATTATTATTAATGTTGAAAACAATATAGTTGCTTAATATTTTTGTGGAAACCTTAATACATTTCTTTCAGGATTATTTTATGAATAGAAAGTTAAAAAGAATAGCATTTATTTAAAATATAATTTTTTTGTAACTCTATAAATGCCTTTACTGTCCCTTTTAATCAATTTAATGCATTATTGATAAAAAAAAATAATAATTTCTTAAAAAAACTGACCCAAAACATTTGAACGGTAGTGTATTAATAAACTAAAATCACATGCAATAGGCATGGAAAAATGCATAATCAGCAAACCTTTTCTTGAGGAGGCTGGCGAACTCTGAAGATGAGAATGAGCAGGCTGGTAGGAAGCAGCTCCCAAATGAAGAGAACAGCTCCAAAGATAATGTAGCCTCTGTCTCCAAGCTCACTCTGAAGGTCAGCCTTTGAAAACAACAGAGAACATCACAAACCAACCAGTGACAGGAACACCTTTTCATTAGCAACCAATGTAGTGCAACTGCACACCTGATCAGAGATGTTGTACCAGTCATAGTCGAAGGCCTCGACTTTATGATTCTGAGACAAAAACAGCACAGCAAGATTGTAACATGCCCTGCTAGAGAAGAGCAAGATGACACCTGCCCCCAGCACCGCAGTCCGACAAAATCCCTGCAAGCAGAAGACGTCATATATAGCTGCAAATAACCTTCTTGGTCCCAAAGTTGGACTGGAGGAAGTGTTCTTATGGATTACGAACTCATAAACACACAGCTTTTCACTTCACAAGATGTTAACTGATGGACTGGAGTGGTGTGGATTATTGTGACGTTGTGATCAGCTGTTCGAACTCTCATTCTGACGGCACCCATTCACTGCAGAGGTTTAGAGCAGTGTTTCCCAACCGGGGTGCCGTCTGTCGAGACCAGGGGTGCGGTGTAAAAAATTATTTTTTAATATTTTTAAATGGCTAAAATGTTCAAAAGAGCATCTATTATATAATATCCATTTCTGATGTCTCCAATAATTAGAGATGCACCGAAATTCCGGCTGCCGAAAATTAGTTCACCGCTCAGGTTTCACTTTCACGTGGTGTGACGCTCTGCGTGTTATCCCGCTCTATGCGTGTGTGCGCTCCGCTCAGTCGCTCCACTCGTATACCGTTCATGCGAATCGGAACAGCAACGTCCACTCAAAAATTGAGCCGACAGGAAACATCGATGTAGTACAGTATCGTTTCTGTCTGCAATAGCCCTACTGTGCTGTAACATGGTGTGGTATATGAGCAACTCTGGTAACGCTGCCCTCTCATTCATTGATCTGCTAACCGCTATGTTATGCTCACATGTTCTGATAATAATAGCTTTCTAGGACTAAACATTATTTGGATAATTGTTAAAAAAAAAAAAAAAATTGTTAAATATCTTAACCCTACTGTTAGACCTACCTGAAAAACTAAAAAGCTATTTATTTAGTTTGAAGGCCTGTTGTTATTTTTTATTTGTGCTATCATTATTAATTTATTTGTTCTTATTTTATTACTGACTGCTTACTTGTCATTTTTTATTCAATTCAAAGTTTGAAATCAAGCTATCTCGTGCTACTGCACCAGAGTTACCCCACTGTAAAATAAAAAAAAACACTGAGTGAGCAAAAATTTGTGAGATAGCTAGTTATAACGGTAATTAAATAATGTTTACATATGTATAAAAGTCTACATTAAAATCTGTCATATAAATTGGTCTCTTCATTAGAAATTAGCCTACTGATTGCCACCATTGATGGACAAAATTTTTTAATAATATTACAAATATCTGTATGACATTATATTCTGCAGTTCTTCCCTGTTGTACCGAATATCTATACTTTTCAAATGATCATATCGAAGTTAGAAATTCAAATATAGTGGACAAAATTAATTTTGTAGGGTGCCGCAAGTTTGTTAACATTTCCAAAGGGTGCCGCGACTAAAAAAAGGTTGGGAAACACTGGTTTAGAAGACTGGATACTATTGCTTTAAGCACTTGCAAAGTATGTACCTTACTGCGTAGATAAGGGGTGGTAGGAGGCGAGGATCGAGTTAAGAGGAGCAGAGACGTGACCAGACACACAGCTTCCAGAATAAACAGTAGGTCATTAACCAGCACTCGAACCAGAACCAGCCTCCAAGTGTCTTCACCAGCTCCATCGGAGGCACCATGCTGTCCGAGGCTTGCGCATACTATATTGACACACAGGAAGATGACGCTCATGGTGGCATACACCCACCGAGCCACCCATCTACAAATCAAAGTTTACACACAAACACAATTCTCATTAAACACACAATCAGATGTTATCCATTAACATGCTAATGTGGAAATCCACTCACAGTGCTTTCCTGGGCTCAACGCTGAACACTCTCCGAACTTTGAGCAACTCCTGTCAAAATGAAACATTGTTATTAGGGAGTGGATTGATTTCTCAACTACGCAAACATACTCTTATGAATCCTTCTTTATAGCTTGTCTTACCTGCGTGAAGTAAATGTTGAAGAGACTCAGGGTGAAGAACTGCAAGCACACTGGGAAGCAGTAAAGGAGCCAGTAGACTGGAGTGGGCAGATGGTTGGCCGCAAGGGCATTACGAAAATAAAAGGAGAAGAGCGTTGTGCGAAGTGCTGCCCAGAACAGGCAGAGAAAAAGAAAAATACTCTGGTAACTCCATCGCTTATGCCGGTAGAGTAACAGCAGCCAAAGCTGAACATACACGACTAAAAACAGACCCCCGTAAAGACAAGTGTAAAGAACCGTGACACCCAGCTCTACTGAAGGGGCCACGGCTGGTTTCATGGGGGAAGGTGGAACTGGAGCCTGCATTATGATGGTGGATGTAAAAAATTAAAATAAAAAAAAGATTAAAATAATATAATACAATGCATAGATCAAAGCTTTAAAATAAACTGGTGCAAAATGTCAAGATTAATCATGTCAACAAAAAGGAAAAACTAATTTCGGGCATGTTCAGGCTTATCATTAGTCTAATCTTCTATACAATATTCTGTCACATATGATGAAGCCAGGAATGAAATGTCATTTCTCGGAACCCGTATCAATCAGCCTGTGATGTGCACCTGCGAAATACAAATGAAAGTATTTAATAGAGCTAAAGTAAGCACAGCCAAGCTTCACACAACAACAACAACTCAAACCATTCACACTGATATCAAGAACACAATCTCTCTAGTCGAAAACAAAAGCATATTTCGTCTGAAGCCAGTCATTAATTGCGAGTTTTGACAGCCAGACTTTGTTTATTCGTTACAGCTGTTCATTACTTCTCTCGTTACTTCTAACAGTCAAACATTTGTATTAAACTGACTTTAAACTGATCTAAAGTAGTAGCTAGCTGAGTGGCTAACGTTGCTAAATTGAGTTTAAATCGATTTGCTAGTTCACAGGTCGGACCGGTTTTGATATAAATACGCGACTCACATTTGTAAAAACTGCTTTAAATACTACTAAATTAAATCCAGCATTACCTTACAAATGACTAAAACCGTGTAACCGACGTAACAAATCCGATAAATCCTTTCCTTCATCACTTCAGTCCTGTGTTTATGTGCTGCGTTATCAACCCAACTCATCGCTGTTGGCGACATCTAGCGGTGCGTGCTGGTAAAGAGAAACGTAAACAAAGGCGTCTTCCGCCTCCTGCGAGACCACGCCCACCACACGCGCCCTAACTTCCTAACTACAATTTTAGAAGTACGGGAGACTTTTAAAAATTACAATGTTTTAAAATAAGTGGAAAGAGGAACGGAGAGAGTTCCGCCATCTCGAAAACCGATAGCTTTATCTAGTGGGCGGGCTTTGTGGGCGTGGTTTGTCGGCTGCCTGGGCGTGGTTTACAGTGCATAGGGCGTGGTTTGCAGTCTTGCTGGAAGCAGACCTATCATGAAAAAAAAACGCCCATTGCTTTACTGACTGTACTGAGAACAAGAAACGGCGGTTAGTTCAATTTTACACCATCGATAAACGTCCCGTCAGCTGTCATTTCTATCTGTCATCATCATTTACACCTGTATTTCATTACACGAACTGACGAAGAAGCGCAAGTTACATTCTGGTTCAAATAACAAAATTATAGGTTGCACACGTACTCCACTGTAACAGATGAGCTCATCATTTCATAACTTTATTTGTTGTTTTGCAGCAGTACGTACATATTGACAGGCCGTGAGTCAGAGGTGGTTTGTAATGTAACTCATAGCGTGTTAGTGGGCGAGGTTCTTCCTCACAGTTTCCTCTCTCTCTCTCTCTCTCTCTCTCTCTCTCTCTCTCTCTCTTCATTATACCGCACTGTGCTGTAGTTCTGCAGCCACGTCGCAGACAGAGACAGCATCGCTCTTACAAACCTCACTGTCTTCAAACTGGACCGACAACATCTTTATCTCCTCGTACAGTTCGTGTTTACACACTTTTATTTTTAAAATAGTGACTCGTTACGGATAAATTGAGAGTAGTTCTCCGCTGTAGGCATGGTGAGTATAGCCTGCTTGCTAACTTATGTCGCAAACTTGCTGGCTTAGTGTTTAGAAAAGGTTACAAGAGTTGTATTTAGCGTTTAAGCATTGCAGTCTCTGACTTATCTGATGCTGTTTGTTCCAGTAATTGCTTCTTATTTACTCGCTAACCAGTCTAACATTAAGAGAAAAAGGGAAATAGAGATAATTATACAGTATCTATCTATCTATCTATCTATCTATCTATCTATCTATCTATCTATCTATCTATCTATCTATCTATCTATCTATCTATCTATCTACAGTATCTATCTATCTATCTATCTTTCTACAGTATCTATCTATCTATCATTCTATCTATCTATCTATCTATCTATCTATCTATCTACAGTATCTATCTATCTATCATTCTATCTATCATTCCATCTATCTATCTTAAATCTATCTATCTATCTATTTATTTATCTACAGTCTTTGCCCTTTTAATACAATATAATTGATAATAACATGCATGTATTTGTACCAAAATATAGGCCTAGTGTGTATACAAACAACAAATTACATTTACACATACACCAATAATATATATATATATATATATATATATATATATATATATATATATATATATATA